CTGCTCCCCTCAGCAGTGTACTTCGTCGATCTGCCTGTTCTGCTCCCCACTCTATCTCTGGTGAAGCCTCTCACTGCCCCCGAGCCTCTGGCCTGTTCCCCAGTTCTTTATGCACAAATAATTGATTTTCTCTATTTCATTAACTGTATTATTTACACATCATTTGTTACAAACATCTTAAAATTCCTTTTTCAAAAGAAAGAAAACAATCTACAGTGACAATAAAATCCCACTAAATATTAAACTCATCTTCTGGATTTATTTCCAAAACAAAAACAGGAAGAAACTTGATCTTCTCAAAACTCAGACCCAAAAGTAATTTAGTTTCTACGTAATAATACCAACTTACCATTATGGACCGAAGGCCTCGTGCACCTGTCTTTCGTTCTAGTGCCAATCTGGCTATAGCTTTCAAAGCATCCTCAGTAACATTCAGTTCACACTACAAATACATTTTTTAAAAAAATGAGAATTTAGGGTAATTGATGATATTTTCCTAATACAGCATTTGATTTATTAGCAATTACTACCTAAAACCATTACTAGTTCAATGTCCTGACTTTACAGATAAAGAAATATGTTCCACCAAAGGGTGAAGTATACTGATTCACTAATACTTAGAAACAGACTGTAACTGGTTAGCTTCACCTCCTTCCTAGAAAAAAATCCACTGGGACCCTATAGTCCCATTTTAAAGAGTGTGACTAACTCTCTCATCCTCTAGACCAAAGGCAAAACTTTAAAGTCTCTCTAAATTACCACAAATTTCAAAATAGTGAAATTCAAATTATTGAGAACTTAATACAGCAATAAATATCAAAGTACTTTGGAACATCAGATTTTATAAGCTCCTGATATTAAACAACTCTAACATCTACCTCCAGAAAATGTAAAATTTAAGGGAGGTAATTATTTCTCACGGTACATTAGAATCTCCCTTTCAAGCAGCACTTGTTCTGCTCAACTAACCTATGAGAAGCTATCAATATTAAAAATCACAAATGTGTCCTTGAATAGATTTTCTAGATTAACATGGATTTTATATGTTACTTCAACATTTACTGAGCCTTAAGTGTTTACATATTAAAGACTGAATGATGAGTTGATACCATCTTTACCCTTGAGGCACTTAGTCTATTAGATCATGACAAGTTAGCAAATCTGCATTTAGCATTGTGTGTACACAGTGTTAAGCGAGTATCAAAGGGGAACCACTGACGGATTTTAAGGAGGAAAGTAAAATAATTAGCTTCATGTTTATTCATTCAATTACTTACTATTAACTCAATATCTATTTGCTGAGCACTATGCTCAATAATTAAAAGAGATCCATTCTGGAAATGAGAGATAGGTATTTTGATAGTGGTAATCAGAGACAAATGTGAGACAGGGAGACTAAGTAAGAACCAACGCAGGGGTCAAAGTAAAGGATGGTAACAGTATGACTTCATACAGAAAGGAGACTGATAAGACATTAAATTTATATGACCAAAAACATCTGTTATTTGATTAGTTGTGTGGCTTGGGTGACCTCCAAGTATCCAGCTGCAGAAGTAGATAAATAAAAAGCTAATAAAAGTTAAGCAAAAGTATATGAACGTATGCAGTCTGTTATAACAAAGCATTCAGAATATCAAAGATGAAAATAAAATCCTGTGTGTCTGACTTGAGTTGGCAATGCATCGCTGGCATAATTTCTCTCTATATATCCTTGAGTTTTGTTGCTACAATGATTTTAATTAAGAAAAAAAAATAAAGATAAGTCTAAAATAAGACAATGTTCCCTCCCTGACCCCTCGATCCATATTTAGCAAGAATTAGGCAGGTATTCCATGCAAGATGGCTGCTTTTTAATGTGGTATGCTAATTTATACAATTTTAATCACTAAGATGCCCTCATAAACTAAGAATGAAAAATTAAAATCTAACCTTGTCCATGCTGAATAAAGCCTGGTACTGAGGAATAACGGCATTACGTGGCTCAGTTAGTATTTGTACAAGTGTTTTTTCATCAAGGCTGTGCAAAGGAACTACCACAGGCAACCGTCCCACAAACTCAGGAATCATGCCAAATTCAATGAGATCTCTGGCTTCCACATGACGTAACAGTCGATCTTTTTCTTCAATATCTTGGTGAGTATTTGATTCTCCACTTCGATTGGCCAGGTCTGCAGCAGCTGCAGCCCTTCTGCCTTTTCCCAGATTAGACGGTGTTCCAAATCCAAGATACTGTCAAAAGAAATGATTGATATTATAAATAATAGAATGAAGTAGCTTTGTACTATGTACTTTTTATGCATATTTCATGTGGTCTTTGTAACTGCTGCAAGTGGTAAAGCCAGGATTTGAACTAAGTTCTATCTGCTTTCAGAATGGAAAACTTAACCACTATAAAAGGAGATTTTCCACAAGAATCTTAAGTCACAGTTAAGCATTCTATTAAAGTATGGAGTTGTATATATCAAACTTTGTTATAATAATTTAGATTTAATAATAAATATATTAGTATGACATTAAATTAAAATGCCAGGTTTGTTGCACAAGTCTGGGTGGTTAAGATATATGGTCCTGCTTTAGTTAATATAAAAAAGCACTTATTACATATAATCATGCATAGTCATAAATATACATACATATACTACATATGTAAACATTCATTAAGCATATTTCAGCCACTGGAATACAAACGCTTATCATAAAGGGGTTTATTTAGAGTTAGAGCACATGAAGACATTAAAGTATCAGGGAGTACAGGAAAACTGTGACAGCCAAAAGATAGAAAAGACGCATGCATTAAGCAGGGAGATAGTCAGGAATGCCTTCACAGAAGAAACACCTAATCATTTAACAGGCTGAGTCTTAAAACATGAACATATATTTGCCAATTAGATTGAGGAAGGAGAGAGCATGAACAAAGGCCAAGTGAAATGAACTGAGGATTATGAGCAATATCATATGTTTAGAGTAACACTATTAAATCACACCTGATTTTCAGTAAGGATTGAAAGTAACAATAGGCACACAGATAGGTTAATCCTCTAGAAATCTCTGCCAATCTCTCTTTATATCTTCTTTTCAAAAAGATCAATGTGACACTCTTCTAATCTGTCTCCCCTGATTATATATTTCCTCTTTTAAGTAATAAGGACTAGAACTCATGATTTCTCCCTATTTTTCATTAAGTAGCTCAAAGTTAATGAAGTGGCTCAATTTCTAATTAAGGACTATGCTCTAAACCTTCTTTCTACAAGTTTTCTGAGCTCTTATACTGTTTTTAACTGTTCTTCTCTACATGTTTCTAGTTTAAAATTCTTTTTAGGTCTACTAATTACAAATAAATATCAGATTATGGCCCCTACCTTTATTACAGAATTTCAAATATAAAGCTATCTTCTCTCATACATAACAAATTATTTCTTCTTTCAAATTTATCAGGCTAATTTATATAGAATTTATGCAACAAAAATGTAAATTAAGTATGAAAAATAAATTTCAAACTTGACCCTGTAAGGCCTGGCACTAAGAAATAATAGCATTGAGTGACTTGGTACTTTCATAAGCATTTTTTTTAATCTAGGCTATGCAAGGATCTATTACAACCATCTCATGACCAACATCATTCTTTCAATACTACTAACCTACTACTTAACCTAGTACATGGCAAAGGAAACTTAAAACAAAACTATATTAGCAGAGGTAATATAAAGTATATTTACATAAGTAGAATAGTATACTTCATAAAAGTTATCATTTATGGCTAGCTTTTATGTAAAACAAAGATGGAAAATACAGGTGTATTTTGGGCTTTTTACCTCTATATGACATTACATTTTACTACAATAAATAACAAATAAATACTGGGCAAGTATGTTGCAGATAATGAAGAAATAAGTTCCAACTAGAGTCAATGCTTATAAGAATGTTCTAGAAATACTTATGAAACTATGTGGGAGCAACACTCTTTTTTTACTCTGCAAATTACTTCCCTCCATTTGTGAATGTCAGCAGTAATCTAGGTTAGATCCTATAGGCAGGGCAACCGACTTAAGCCCCTTACCTGACTTCAGTAAACTAGACAAGAGAAATGAATCGAAATGTTACTGATAAAATAGTTACCTCAAATAACAAAAAAACTTTTATATGAAATATAAATTTTAAAGTATCAGTTACACCAAATATAGAGATGATATTTAGAAATCTTCCAAACTACTTGAAATTTAGAAAATATCCAGGAATATATTTCTGATATGATCTAAGAAAATCTAACTCAAACATCCACAACTGGAGGTCTCCCTGGTGGCTCAAGGGTTAAAGGGAGCGCTATCAAGCTATCAACAGCTGCTACAGCAGGAACCCAGCAGCCAAGGAGCCAACCCACATGGCACAGCAGACCTGTCATGTCTCATCCACTGCTCCCAACAGCAGAGTATTTCAGCAAATCTGCCTGTTCTGCTCCCCAACTCTCTCTGGTGAACCCTCTTACCACCCCCCACTCCAGCTCTTATATGCATAAATAAATAAATAAATCTTTATAAAAATCCACAATGACATCCAACAGATAATGACACTAAAACAATCCATCCCCTGTAATGTCAAATGCTCTCTATCCCAGTAATGCCTCAGAAAAACTTACCTTTTCATTTTTTCTCCTGCTGATGATTCTGTCTAAACCATTGAAAGCACCTGATGCAACAAACAGAATGTTTGTTGTATCAACTTGTACCGTTTCTCCACGTAGCTTGCGTGAATTCTTTTCTGGAACGTTGACTATTGTGCCTTCTAATAGTTTTAATAAGCCCTAAAAAAATCAATTATTTATAGCATAATTATGTTAAGTGTATTATTTATTATATTTTAGATAATGGGGTTCAATGGGGAAAATAATATGTGGTATGGTCAATGAGCACAACAAAGAAAAGGTCCACATTTCTACAACTAACAGGACAACTTAATGCACTATCACATTGTAAGTTCATAAGTTCATTTGGAATCATTATAGAACTGATGCATTCAGGGAACAGTCAACCTAAGGGATTGTTTTCGATGGTAAAAACATAATTCTTACATAAAAATAGAATTATGACTCTATAAGGTGGCACCCAACCATATGGGAACAATCAAAATTTGAAAATAGTTGGAAGATTTGCCTTTCATATAAATTAAAATTCTATTCCTAGAATAGGTATTCTTAAAGTTCTCAAAGCTAAGCTTTGGGAATACCTAAATTTTTAGATGGCTTCATAAAAAAAATTATCCAGTATCTAAGTGTGGATGTACCACTCTAAGTCTTGGTTAAAAAACTTGAGCAATTTTTCTTACCCATAGTTTATGTCATAATTAGTTACCAGTAAAATGTCAAGTTGGCAAGTAGAGCATTATGACTTCAATTAATGATTCTATAATGAATGAAACACTAGCTTATCTTTTTTATCCTATTTTCTAAGTGAAGAGTAAGAAACATGTGCATAGTTCATTTATGTCTAATTAGAAACAGAACTTTGTTTCAAGAGTCCTCCAGAAATGTTTAACTGGGGCCTCTGAGGAATAAAATAAAAAATAAATTTATGTTTTCTGTTCTTTAAAAAATACTTTTAATTTCTTAAGAAAGGTAATTTGGTATTTAAAATCACTAATAGCTGAACTACTTTAAAATGGTATATGGAATTTGGGGTGGGAGAAATAAAACAGAATCTAATTGAATGTGAAACTAAACGTACAATATTTGGGAGGTAGATGTATTCCCTTCCTTTTAGTGGACTTGAACAAAATATTCAACTGCTTACTTGCTGAACGCCTTCTCCACCTACATCCCGTAACTGATGAATGCCTGGCACACTGCCAATCTTATCTACTTCATCCAGAAAGACAATTCCTATAATTTAAGGAGGATTCTATTTATAATATGAAAAAGATATACACAAGATAACCTCAACTTTTAAAGACTAGATAGTTAGAGCAAGGTTATTCAATCTTTCAAATTTAAACAGATGCAATGGCTTAATTATATAAAGTTACACTATTATCTTGCCCACTCATCACTTTGTACAAATGTTTCATTATTTTGTAGGATATCACTTGGGTATGATAACCAATTCTCTTAACAAGTTATCTATCCCATTAATGTTTTTGGGTTCTTCAGGAAGCTGAAATAGTGTAGAAGCAAGAGGTATATGTAGTGTTGGTACGAACAAATGTTAAGCTTCTTCTTTCCTACTTATCTTCTTTTATTTAAAAGAATTTAGACTGGAAGCTGTCAAGTTATTCATGTAAACAAGGACAGATGACAGATGGGGAAAGGAAAAATGTAGCATGTTGACATCCTATTATTAAGAAGCTAACCAATTTCTAGATTCACCTTGCACTTTCCCACCCTTGTTCTTACTCAACCCATCATCACAGCTTTAGGAGTCTGCTGGAGAGTAAGAACAAAAGAAACAGTGATTGTAGAGAGTAACTGGGACTTTATGCCCATTTATGATAATAAGACAAAGCAAACTTATGGCCTTTAATCAATATGCTAGAAAATACTTAGCAGATATTTTGTGAAATTAAAGAATTTTATTCCTCGACTCAAAATAAGAATTATATTACCTCTTAATTTTAGACCACTTCCCCAAAAGACTACATGTGGGGACAGAAAAGCAATGCTGAGCACATACCTTGTTGTGCTTTTTCTACATTATAATTGGCATCTTGGAGCAGTTTGGCAATCACAGATTCAATATCTTCACCTACATATCCAGCTTGAGTCAAAGTTGTACAGTCACAGATAGCAAAGGGGACATCAAGACATTTAGCTAGAGTTTGTGCCAGCAGAGTTTTACCTACAAACAGAATCAGTAGCAAAGAGTTTACTAGTATTATGTTGGTAGGCAATTTAGCTACAAAATACAAAATAAACTATGATTAGTATATAATTTAAAATTACACCTTTTCTCTAATATCATCAGGTATAATGGTATGTTCTTTTTATTATTCCTATAAAGTTGTTTGTGGCTGCGTTAAGGTCAAAATCAATGCTTCAAATTCAATTTGAAGCCTATGAAGAAACACTGATAATATATCCATATTAGATTTTAGATTTTTTTCTCAAGAGTCAGAATCCCCCAATCACAAAACACTGGCTATATAATTACTTATATTCTATTTTTTTTTAAATAAGTGGCAAATTATTTCAGGAAGTTAGTTACCTGACCCAGTTGGTCCAAGTAGCAAAATATTACTCTTTTCAAGTTTTATATCATCATGGGAAGAATCCAATACTTCACCTCCTCGTTTTTCCTGAGGTATTTGTTGATTTATTTGTTGCTGCATTGATGCTCCTAAAGCATTACCATGTGGACTAATTCCAGCAATCTGAAGCAATTCTGAAAAATGCCAAAGGAATTACTAGAACTTCATTTGATTTGACTTGAACGAATGTCCAATAAAGCTCTGAATCTAAGACCAACTACTTATTTTTAAAATTTTAAGTAGTCTTGACATGTTGTCTTACCTAAAAAGGAAGAAAACTTCAAATGATCTCATGATAAATATACAAATAGACAATGATTATTCAGGAAACCTCAGGCAATGGAAATGGACTCTTTTTACCTTCCTTATTTATATAAACCTGTATGAAGAATGCCCTTTCACCCAAAGAAACACAATAAAATGGAAGGAGAATGTTCTTAAGGCTAAGTTTTAGCTTTTGTCTACCTCTAAATAGCTATCTGATCTTGGGCAAGTCATAAACTTTGTGTTTAAGCTTACAGTTAGACATAGCTTATCAAAAAGTATTGGATGGTTTTACTCATAGGAGGAATATAGGGGAGCCAAATATGAGATCAAGAAAAAATAGTAATAAATAAAAGGACAAAATTAATAGGCAACTATAAATTACAAACATACTGTGGGGAAGGGGAATTATGGGGTGGAAAGAGCACAAAGGACTAAGGTGATGGTTCATTTGTGACTTGGTGGTAGGAATTTTATGGGGACTACACCTGAGGAAAATCAAACACTGTACAAAAATGAACAATGGTGTAAAATATATATAAGTATTTCTTTTTAAAAAAATACCTGTCTTACTAAATTTCAAACACATCGCTGGAAATTGTAAGAATAAACGAAAAGAAACAAGAGCTGTTACCAAATATTGTAAGGTCATCCCTAGTCCTATATGAATTTCTGATTTTTTGGAATCTCAACTAGATCTTTCTACTTCCTGTACTAAGGACAAAAAGCTTAACTAGATGGGATTGATTTTATTGGAGTAATATCAGCTTATCAGCTGAGTCCCTAAAAACATACACAAACACACTCTCTTATATTCTCACTCTTTTGAAGGAAAGAATCCCAATAGGCTTTTCCATTATCCAGATTTGTATATATCCTGATTCTCAGCAGGAATGATATGAAAATAGTATCTGTGCTTATATCATACTAGTCTTTATTTTCTGGATTCATTTTTAGGCTTTTTTAAATAAATGGATTAAGACTATCAGTACTTTTGATGCATTATTATTTTAAACAAACCAACAGATGCTCAGTAGACATAACTTTTTTTTTTAAAGATTTCTTTATTTATGCATACAGAACTGGGTACAAGCCAGAGGTGCAGGGGTGGTGAGAGGAGTTACCAGAGACAGAGTGGGGTGCAGAACAGGCGGATCGATGAAGTGCACTGCTAAAGGGAGCAGCCAGCAGGTCAGGAGAGGTCTGCAGTGCCATGTGGGTCACCTCCTGGGCGGGGATCGAACTCATGCTGAAGTGGCTTCAGTTTCTTAGTGCTGTGCTTTAGCCCACTGTGCCACCAGGGAGGCCCAGCAGACATAACTTTTTATGATCTTATTCTATTGGTGACACTTTCAAACTATTTTAGGGTCACACTAAAGGGTTATTATTACTTAATAAACATTTGGATTTAATTAAGTTGTGCTATAATTTGAGGGTTAATGACTAGTGAATAATTCACAATATGCTATGACTCATTACAATTCATATCAGGAAAGAAAATGCAATCTCTAATACAAGTTTAGTTAGCTAGTTATCCCTAATGCAACAGTGTTTTTGTTTAATCTAGTTAGGGATTTCTGACCACATAAGAAAGGGTTCTGGCTTAAGTGTAGGCTTGGCCAATGGAGGAAAAATTAATTAGCTTTGCACAAAACTGCAAGTATATCAACTATAATGGAGTCAAAAGGTACATGTGTTCAACTTAATGAATTTTAAAAAAGGAATAATTTAAATAGTTCAGAATAGATGATACTTGTCATTTTTGAAAATATAACCCATGTAAAATATCCTTTCAATTACTCTGTGTTCCCACATATCTCTCACTGCATAAACAGATATTCATAATGAAAGGGACTATGAGTGCACAAGTTAATGCAGTATTTAGATGCATGGAGCTCATCAGCTTGCAGTCATATAAAATGGCAGCAAAATCTGTACTTTCAGCCTTACAGGTTTTGGAGAAATTAAGTTATTATTTACTATATGTTATTCAGAATAGTGCCCAGCAGATTGTTTTATAAGGCTTACAGAAGAATTTATTACTATTACTGTTTTCCTAGTCTATAAGTATTTATAAAACATTACATAGTCCTTAGAAGCAAGTCAACTATTTCATTTGATACTCAACTTAAGACAAACATTATGTCCCAAAGAAAGAAAAACGAACATAAGTCCCATTAAGTATATAGTATGTTTGGATTTAATCTTAATATATGATTTCCAAAGAACTTTCAAAAATATTTTGATTAAATATGATGTTGGTCTATTGCCCTAACTTGAATATCTCAAAGCATACAGTTTTAGGATAAGATTAAATTTGTATATGAAAATACATTCTATTTAAGTTTTCAAAATATTAAATTTCCAAATCAATTAAGATATAGAAATATAAGTATCTTCAAAAATGTCATCACTTGGGGCCCTCCCTGGTGGCGCAGCAGGTTAAAGTACAGCACTAAGAAGCTAAAGCCACTTCCTCATGAGTTCGATCCCCACCTGCCCCAGAAGTGACCACATGGCGTGGCAGACCTCTCCTGACCCACCCGCTGCTCCCCTCAGCAGTGTACTTCATTGATCTGCCTGTTCTGCTCCCCACTCTGTCCTTGGTGAATCCTCTCACTGCCCCTGCATCTCTGGCTTGTACCCCAGTTCTGTATGCATAAATAAATAAATCTTTAAAAAAAAATCACCACTTGATAACATTTAAGTTACATTAAATCACTACATAGAATGACTACATATTTCTTTCAAAATATTCACTACAGATTTTTCTTTATTACTTCATACTACTTTAACTATCCCTCTGCAAATTTATGAATGTAATATAGACAGCTTATCTGCTTATACTTTTGGATTATAAAGTAATAAGTTCATATACCTAGAACATATTACTTAGATCTTACATTCTTATATACAGTCTAATTCTACTGTAATTTTGTCATGCATGGCAAAACCACTTTCTAAATCATTTAAAAATAACTAGAAATAATATAATCTTATTAGACATCATAAATCTCAAGACAAAGCTGGTAAACTACTTATGTTTCCATAGCTAACCTTGTATATAGAACATACATCTTGGTTGAAAAGCAAATGTAGAAGTGCCAAACTTATCAGTGAGAAATGTTGATAGTGGTTTATCTATTGCTTTCTTTTTACTTCTTAATTACTGAAACAAAAGTCCACATGAATCTTTTTATGATACCCACTGGAACCTTCATCCTCTGTGCAATAAGTGTATACACTTCCAGAACAGAGAGAGAGTATGTGTGTGCATGCAAGCAAGATGGCCACTATCATTGGTGTATCAAGAGTCTTCCACACCCTTCATCACACCATCTGAGATTTACAGGGGCAACTGAGGTTGGAAAAAATTAGTTAAAGCTTAGTATAATGATAACCATTTTCAAGGCTATCTATGAGTTTTATAAGTATCAAAAATCAAACAGTGTGGTTTCTGGCAAAGAGTAGCTAAAAGATAATTTGGCTTTGCCAAAATTTCTGTTACTTGTAAGGAGCTCAACTAATTGTACGGGAGAAAAAAAAAAAAGAAAATACTGAAAAACAGACTTGAAAAACACAACTCCTGTTAATATGAAGATCTATATAGAGTATATATGTATACATCCTATAAGTACTTTTTTAATCTCTACATTATGCTTTAAGAAATATCACAACAGAAAAGATTAACATCTAAAACAATTCAACATATATACTAACTACATAATTAGCTATGAAAAACTGTTCCCAGGCCCTCCCTGGTGGCAAAACGGGTGCACAGCACTATGAAGCTATCCACAGCCACTGAAGCACAAATTCCATTCCCGGCCAGGGAGGTGCCCCACATGGTGTGGCAGCCCTCTCCTGACCCACCTCCTTGCTCCCCTCAGCAGTATATTTCAGTCCATCTGCCTGTTCTGCTCCCCACACTGTCTCTGGTGAATTCTCTCACTACACCCCCATACCTCTGGCCTGTACCCCAGTTCCATATGCATAAATAAATAAATAAGTCTTTAAAAAAAGAATAAAACTAGAAACTTTACAAAAAACAAACAGACATCCCACTGATTGGGGAAAAAAACTTTCTCACACAAAACTAGCAATAAAGGATTGATCACAAAGATAAAGAACTGATGAAACTCAACAAAAATAAACAACTCCGGCCCTCCCTGGTG